GCCTTTCCTTTGAAAGCAAAAAATTCAAGGTCCTTTAGTCTATCATTTGTTCTAAGTATTCTCAATTTTTTTGTATCACTTAAAATTATTTACCACCACCATTTGACATTTTTTACTATCTCACCAGTATCACACAAATGTGATGAGAGCAGTTCTCTCTATTCCCAATTCACTGACATAAGCAACTTGCAAAAATATATAAAAATAAAATGCTATTTATAACCCTATAACAAATATCTATATTCTTCTTTCCCACATAGAAACAGGGACATTTTTTACTAGTGTCATACTACTGGGCAATAGAGATGGAATTACCAAAAGGGCATGCTGTTAAAATAGATATTGTATGTTTGTTCAATAACTCATTTGTTGTACAAATATACAATTCATTCTAGGAACCATAGCAGTAATTTTCTCAACAGCAGACCCATACATGGGCTGCACCAAGTCCTGTTAAATTAAATATATGAAAACTTATTTAACTTCTTCCCTTATTCACTGCCACAGGTTCTAAACAACAGACCATTGTACCCAACAAGTACCATTTCCTCCAAACAAAGCCCCTCTCTCATCCTTCAGCTCTGGTACCCCATCTCTAGTGACCTTGCTGCTACCAGGAGCTAGAGAAAATGCAGTTTGCAAGAGGAAGTTTAGGAAGGTCAGTTAACTTGCTTACACCAAAATGAAGACAGGGAAATTGGGATTCTGTTTGGCAGCAGCCCAGAACTCTCCATGCTTTGTTAGGTTACTAAGAGAGCAACCATTGTGTAATTGCCTGAATCTCAAAGACTGAAGCAGCAGCCCTGTGCTATTGAAGTAATACCTTGCATTAGCACTGTCAGTCATCAGAACACCCTGAAAACTGAAATGATGAAATCACCATGGCAAGCTCACTCCTTTTAAACAAGCAAACCCAACTACTTGACATTAACAAGGAAGGAGCTCCTATACTATGGTAGTGTAGCAATTAGAGAATAAATATTTAGTGGAATGCACATGCAGGGATATGAATTCATATTTACTGATCATGTAATGAAATCTGAAAGGGCATTTCTGCAGGTCAGTGGGAGTTCTGAGGTATCCATAGTAGCCAGATATCTACAGCCAAGCTTTCTAGGAAAGGCTCCTGGGCTTTCACAAGAGGGCTATGTTTGGGGGATTTAAGAGGTTAGTGCTTCATTGAGAGAAGAGACAAAACCAGATTCAAATCTATGCTCAAAGATGGAAGTACAGAATTTTGAACACAATGCTTAATGTTAGAATTTAATTTTCTGCTTTGGGAATAATATATAAATCTTTCATCACATCCCTGAAATTTGTCTTTCTTCAGTTTCTTCACCTCCTTTACATTTTTAATTGTTGAAGGGCTAAACAATTCAGTAGCTTTATATTTTAAGTAGAAAGTTTAGACAAAATTCTCTACGTCTTCAACCTTTCAATCTCTAGTTCAGATATATTTTAGCTGGTAAAACAAAGGTATTGATTTAGCTGGTAAAACAGAGGCATTGATATAAAACATCTGCTGTCTTAAGTACTAGAGTGTGTTAAAAATATGTAGGGATATCTCCAATGCATTAGCACTCCCACATCATTAATTAAGAGTAAAAATCAGCTTGAAGGGATTAAATTGTGTGTGGGTGACAAGGAACAAAAGCTTTATCCCTTTAAAACAAGATTAATTTGCTGCTTAAGAAGGATAAACAAAAGCATTTGAAGTCTCTATGCTTTAGACTAAGCAGAAGAGATTTCTTGTTTGGTTACAATAGTTGGTGATGTTCTATTAGAGAAAAATCACCTTTTTCTCTTTTCATAATGTTTAATGAAAGGAGATCCTCTCATAGTCTGAATTTTGACAATGTGGTCTGAATATCACCTAGAGATGACAAAAAATGGATTCCTATTTCTGTATAGTCAAGAACTCCATTTAATCCCTTTGGAATTCCATTCCATTAAAGTTTTCTCAATCAAACATTCTTTGCTGGCTGTTTCACTGACAGGCTCAAACTTTCCTAGGAATGGTTCAAAACATTGAAGTCTTCAGCAGAGGACAGTGGTAAACCCACAACTTTGGACATCTTTCCCAGTGTCTTTCTTGCAAACCAGGATTGTGATTGGATGGATTAGAGAAACGTGGCACCTCAATTCTTCTGCTTTGCATTTAACTTGCCTTGTTACTGCTAATGCACGTGGAGAAATGTGGGAGGCTTTGACAAGTTTATTACCCATGATGAAATGCAAGTTGTTTATTCTTCAACACAAAATTACAGCATAACACGTGTTCATCCTAAAGGCACCAGATTCTCAGAGAGCAAATATTTCACTTTTGGCTTGAAAAATTTGCAGTAATTATGCCTGATATTAAACCTCATTGTAGCAAAAGTTCAAATCACTCAGACCCAAATTCAGCTGAAGCTCCCGCCTGTATTCCAAACATTTAATGCCAGGCACACGCACCAGAACTTTGCTGAACAGCAAGTGACTAAAGTCAAGTTACATTTCAAGGGTGAATGTAAGTGCTTTGCTGAACTGAAACATAAATGCATCAAAGAAACAGCAGGGGTTGATTACTGAAGTGATATTTGTGAAATGAGGGGATGGGATTTTACAGTTCCCAAGCTGCAAACTCTACATCTGCTAAATCTAAAATGATCATTCAACAAAAGCTGGAAAGGCAAAATTAACCTCACACAACTTGCCAATGAGTGCTTTTTAAAGTTTTCTTGTGCAGAAGTAAATGCATATTCAAGTTCTCCACCCCTCAGGTCTCAGGTCTTTGATTAGTTCAGTGTATTGGGAATGGATATTGAGTCTTCCACAGCTAATTCAACTGCCTGAACTTAATTCAGGAAAACCAAGAGATATTCACTGTTTGACTGCCCTGCCTGCCCAGAAGCCTGCACAACATGCAATTTAACTTTCCTGGTATGCTGCCCACACTACAAAAATTACCTGTGTGATAAACAGGTATGATTCGTGCTGATAAAAATTAAAACAGTCATTAATATTGATACAGTAATTAATATTTGGGAATAATAAAACAGTTAAAAGTTGTAATGCCAAAGAAGAGAGGGAGAGTAGGGGCTCCACCCCCCCATTCCCAGCAGATGTTCTCAAGGACCACAGGAAAGAAGCTGAAGATACAGTTGCTAAAAATGACCAAGAACCTGCTTTGGTCCCAGAAAATGCTAATGAGGGATTCATTGCCTGTTATCTGCTGCTTACAGTGGCGAGATGGGCATTGATAGAAACCCCAAGCCATCACATACGAACACAGTGCTTTCTGAAAAACAGCTTTTAAATGTCCAGGTAATGCCCATATCACTAACTAAATAGCTATATTACTCTCTAAATACCTACATTAGTAACCAGCCACACTGCTTGCTACCACACTCCTCTACATCTGTGACTTCCAAACTTTCTTGATCATACAAGAAAGATTAAGCAAGAAATTTTTGAACACACCCCCCCAGTATATGTATATTTATTTACAGGTTGAACACACAAGCCACTGTACTAACATATTATATACACAATAAAACATACACAAAAGTTAAAACCAGAATAAATTAAGATTAAATCAACAATATTATAATTAATTTGCATTAACTTTTATAGAAACTTTTTTCCTTTTACTAATTGTACTATTATTACTACTATTTTAAGTGAGAGCAATTGTGTGATTGAATACGCTTCATTAGTCTTGGTTCAATATTTTGAGATTCAAAGATCTAAGTTCAGTTTATTTCAACACTCTGTTTTAATGGCTGTCATAGCTTCAAGTTTGATGACAGGTTCAAATGGAAGAATTGCATCATTGGCTGGGCTTAATAAATCACGATTCCATCCACCGGTTATGCAATGATTTTTGTTTAAATTTGTATAGTTTCTTTTTACCTTCCCTGATGTCACTTTACTGTTCTTGCAAACTGACTTGCATTTTTGAATTTTTAAAATCACATTAAAAATTTTTGAAAGAGACTGCACCGAGCCTTGTCCAGCAGAGATTTGAAGCTTTCCAAGGCCAGTAGCTCTGCAGGGAAACGTCCCTGTTTTGTCGCTCACTGCAAAGAACACCATCCCAATGCCTGGTGGGAATTCCCGTCGCTGCCAACCGAGGGAGCTGCTGCTGCAGCAAAGCTCCGAGGGGAGCCCGGCACCATTTGCTCTGCAGGCTGGAACTGCATCCCTGCACCTCGTTATTTTCTCCCGATACACGCAGTTCCCTCGGGAACCCTTGGCACCCCGAATGCCCCAGCCCCACAACCCGCCCGAGGTGATCTGATAGACTCGGGTTCATCAGCAGCTTTACAGCTGACCTGGGTAAAATCACCTGAATCCATCAGGTGACTCTGAACTTCGAACGTGCTCTTTGTAATCCTGTCATACATAATGAAACTGAAATATAAAGCTCAGGTGGCCTTGATTTGGGTAAGCACTACCTAGCAACAACCAAAACATCAGTGTGTTATCGATGCAATTGTCATACTGAGTCCAAAACACAGCACTGTGCCAGCTGCTGAGAAGAAAATGAACTCTCGTCCAGCAGAAACCAAGACAATGACATAATATTTTGTACTTTGCACCAAGCTGAAGCCTTGGTACGCAAATTAATTTCTGTGGTTTCTAAAGGGGTGTCTCTACAAGAGAGTCACTTTCTCTGGAAACACTACAGGAGCAGCAGCCCAAACCAAAAGCAGCTGTTTAAATTTGCCCTGCTAAGCCAATTAAAGGCGATCCGGGCAGTTTTAAGGAGGACTGTGTTGCGTGTAAACCCGTTTTGCAGACTTCGCAGCACAGACAGCGCGGTTGGGTTGTTGGTGCCAATGCCGTGCGCTTCAGCGGGACCGGGCGCTGCGGCCTCTGCGCCGCGCCAGGCCCTGCTCACACCGAGCGAGGGCTGGGCTGGCAGCGCTAAAAAGTTAACTCATAAAAGGGAGTTCGGTTAAAAAAAATAAAAAATATGTAAAAATAACAATAATAATAAATTTTAAAACCCGCACCTTTCAGCTCAGAGAGCCCGCTCCGTCAGCCCGGTGCCTCCGGGCGCTGGGAGCGCCTCAGGCGCCGCCCCGAGGCCCCGCGCTCGGCCGCTCCCGGCGCTCCGCAGCGGGACACGGCACAGCTCGGCACCGCTGCTTCCCGGGCTCCACCGCCCCATCCCGGCCGCTGGAAACCGGCGGGAGCCCAATTCCGGCCGCCGTGCCTGGCCCAGCACCGGGAGCCCGGCAGCGGCTGCGTTACCGTGGCCGGAACGCTGAGGCCGCGCTGGACGCACCTCGGCCGAGAACGCCTCACACGTGAGAGCTCTCACGGAATTGAGCACACCTGAGGGGAATTAAAGTGCCACAAAGTGTCTACAGCTGTGCCGGGCCTCAGCCGTGCCAGTGCCGCACCGCGATTGCCTGCCTGCCTGCACAAAAAGCCTCAGCCGTGCCGTGCCTGCCACCTGCAATAAGGATGGCGAGCACGGCTCCGAGCAGCGTGTGCCGTTCGCTGCTGCCGAGGCAGTGTCCTCCTCACCTTTGGAAATAACCCACGGGGGAGTTAATAACCCATAAGTGAGTGCAGGTGCTCGTCTCCAGGCAAAGCGGGGGGGGCAGCTGCCTCAGCTCAACATGCAAAGGAACTCAGCTGTGTTTGCAAAATGATTCCTGCCAAGGTAGAATTGGCTTGGGTGCATAACCCACAACAGCAACCCAAGGTTTTCCACGTGCCTCATCGTGCATCAGCCTATCTTGTGCACAGTGACTTAGGACTTAAACAACCTGCCCCCACACTCCTGGAAAATTATAGAACACAAGAAAATATAAATAAAAAATCTCATTCCGTTTCATTGGTACTCAGTGGGTGTTTCCTCCACTGAATCCAATGCTTTGACCAATCTAAATCAACTACTGGCACAGTTGGTATGACTTCTAACACTTTGCTCTGGCCACGTTTGAATTTCTTTGGGATCTGAAACCATTTTGGCCATGTTGAATAGTTTGTGAATTTTAAATGAGGTTTTTGGATGTTTTCACAGCAATATATAAATGGTAGCACTACATTTTACAGCACTAACCTGCTGGAAAATGCTTATGAATGAGCTCCAGTTCAGGCCTGTAACCAATCTTGTGAACTGCACACAGAGCATTATGAGTCTAGATAGCAAGTTTTAACCATAAAAACCCCTTTATTCAAATACCACAGGCAAAGAACCACTAGGGTATTTCTGCTTTGTCCAGCTGCAAAAGGCTCAACATCACCTGGAATTCCCAGTGCATTTTCTAAATACAAGCCAGCACCAAAGCCTGGTTTTGATTTTGAAACTTGAAATAGCCTCATTCTCAACCTAGCATAGGGAGATTCACACAAGCTCTGGTCTGTACTGGCTATGCTATGGACCAGTCCAGCTGGAAACCAGGCAAAGGGAGTTCCCTGCTATTCCAACTCCCAGAACTACACCTCCAGCAAGCAGTGGCACATTCAGCACACACTGCCAGGCATGGGATTCCCTTTGCTAGCATGTGACCTTTTGGGGTTTATTGTCTGATTAGGAAACTGGAAACAGCATACCTGCTTGTACTCTTCTGAGGAAGAAAGAAACAGATTGCTAATATGAGAGACATTATAAAGAAAATGCTTACACATGTAGTATCTTTCATTATCAGAAGAATTTTCTTCTTCCAACGATAATAATACCTACCTTTCTGTTTATTCACTACATGGGATATCAGATAAGAACTTTTATGGGATCATTGCTGTACCTGCTTTTAATTATTAAAATGTTTCCTTTTACTCTCATAGCACATTACTCACTGGTAGATGACTTGGCAATTCAGCCTTGTAATATTACCATTAAATTCAGCAGACTTTCTACACTCTGATTCATTCTGTATCTTGCTTATTTCTGCAATGCTGAGTGGACCAAGCAGTATTTTCAAGCCTGTCAGCTGCCAGGTTCTCAGTGCCCAAGATGAGCAGTTTCTGAAACAAATACAGTAATAGCACACTCGTGTTCTGCCCCAATTTTACCAAGTGTTTTTTCAAACTCAACTTGCCTCACCTGGCAAGAGCACAAGCACTGCTGTCCTGGTGAAAGGAGGGTCAGTTATTACCATATAATGGCAGATCATGCACTTCCAACCCTCTGCCATGGGCAGGGACACCTTCCACTAGACCAGATTGCTCAGAGCCCTGTCTAACCTGGCCTTGAACACTTCCAGGGATGGGGCATCCACAGCTTTTTTGAGCAACCTGTTCCAGTGCCTCACAACCCTCACTGTCAAGAATTTCTTCTCATTATCTAATCTACTCTCAGTTTAAAGTCACTGTGATGTATTTCTCAAAGACATCTCCTCCTTTAGGATTTTTGAAAAAGCAGAAATTTCCAGCTGTCTCAAACCGCCATTAAACAGAATAGTTTGTGTATCTGATATGTTTAAAAAACCAGGCATCATTCCTGATAAGAACTCTCACTGCAAAAACGTAAATATTCAGATAATTTCTGAATTTAATGCTGCAACACCAAAGGAGCCACATGGACACACTGTTTCTTTCACTAAAAAGAAAGGCCATTTGTGCATTTCAAACAATGGAAAAGCTCTGTCAATGAAATGTGCCTTTGGAAGAAACACGCTACCCAGGCCACCAGGAGTTAACCCCCTCTTTTGAGTGCAATTCCCTTTCTAAAGCACACTTGTTTTGGGGTTTGTTGTTTTTTTATTTCAGCCATCTACTCGAAAATGAAACAAATGTACCATTAATGCCCTAGGAAGTTAATATGTATAACAAAGATTGCATTTAAGTTGTCTTACACACAGCCATTCAGAAAGGGCAGTAGAATTTAATATAAAAAGTATCACCTCATTAAGTACAGCAAGATATAACTAGATCATTACAAATAGGAACAGCAACATTTTTTACATAAACCCCAGACATGTGGGGAACAGTTCCAGGAAGTGAGCTGCTAAGTTCATGATTCACTGGTAGTAGTCAGCATGGGTTCAGCAAGGGCAAGTCAGACTGGAGCAACTCTGCAGAGAAATGACTGCCAGGAGCTGAAGGGAGAGCAGCACTGCCTGCCCAGACCTCTGACACTCTCCCAGAAGATCCTGGGTAATGATGATGGGCAGAGCATGCCCTGAGCAAGGCTGCAGGTGACACAAACTGGGAGTGCCGATACACCTGCAGCTCCTGCTGCCGTCCGTAGGCACCTCTGCAGGCTGGAGAAATGGGCTGTGGAGGAAGAGTCCTGCACACTGATACATCCTGGAGCCATCCAGCTGGAAAAACCCCTTTGCAGAGAAGGCCCTGGGCTCCTGCAGTTGGACAGGAGGCAGCAGTGTGCCCAGCCCAGGCTGATGGCACGGGCTGCACCAGCAGGGTGACAGAGCTGATCCTTCCCTTTCCTCACACAGGAGCAGTGCCCAGTGTGAGACACAGACAAGGAAAGGATGAGGCAGCAGGGACTGTTTAGCCAGAAGAAAGCTCAGGGAGACTCTTACCAACACATCCCATCATCTGAAGTGGGGGTGCAAAGATGAAGCCAGGCTCTCACCAGGGATGCCCAGGGGCAGGACAAGAGGGAGTGGCACACACTGGAACACGTGAGAACATCTGAGCACAAGAACAGACAGCTACTGTGGGGCTGGCTGAGAACTGCAGAGCTGGCCAGGGAGACCAAGTGTCCTTCCTTGGAGACCCAAAGCCATCTGGGCATCGTTCTGCCCAGCAAGGCCTAGGTGGGATGGCTGGAGCAGGGGGCATGGACGTGCAGAGGTCCCTCCCAACCTCAATCAGCCTCTGATTCTGTGAAAAAAATAAAAATAAATTGAAGTTTTGGGAAAATGGCAAAGTTTATGTTTTTTTTAAAAAGAAAAAGGTCATTAATTGCATAGAAGTATTACTTCAGTCATCTCAAAATGTTACTCAGCATTCATTCACACTTGGAAAGTCCCAGTAATATGAGAAGAAGCAAAACAGAATGTATTTACATTCAACTGGAGTTAATTTGCACAATAATATTTTAAAATAACTCAAACACACTTATCTAAACAAAGTCTGATTCAATGTATATTTTAAGCATATATAAAATACAAATAAAGTCTTCAAAACTTAAATTCTTTGGATAAAACCAATTATTTAATGTTAAGTTAGCTCTAAAGTAGTAAGAAATGTAAACAGATACTGTGATAAAAATATTAAGAAATAACAGCTTTACCATAAAGTTCTGACATATGCTATCAGTTTTATTTTCCAGATGCTAAAAAACAGTTTTAATTTTAATTCAGGAATACTTCAGCAGAATTTTAAATTACAACAATTTTTTAAAAACTCTTTTTTACCTTTATTTACACTACTTTTTGGCATTTTCTTCCTTATCTTAAGTGAATTTGAACTTCTACATATGTATTGAATAATTTGTGGTTTTAACTTACCCAGTTCAAACTGGAGTCCATGATGGTGGAAAAAAATCAAAAGGTCAGGTAAGACTCCTCTAACTGGGAAAAGCCAAGGACTTTGAAAAGTAAGGGTGTGAAGTACCTGAGCACAATCCAACAGCTGGCTCCTGCAAAGTAATTCTGGAATCATACATACAATCAGTACCACTGAGAAAAGCTCCATGAGAATTAATCCATACAGGAGACCTGGTGTGGCTCATTCACACCCAGCTCTCAGAGCTTGGTCTGTGCTGAACCAACCTGTTACTTTATTTCATGTGACATTAAATCTTGGGGAACAACTTCTGACAAACAGAAGCTGAGAAGTTTTACATGCCCTACACCTCAGTCTGCTTTCCACTTGTCAGTGTGAGCATTCCCCCAAACCAAGACAACAGTCTTGAATCCCCCCATGAGTTTTGGTGACACCTTACACTGCAATCTGTTTGGGAAAATCCTGCTTTTTCCTTGTGTGCAGAAAGATAAAACACAACCTTTTACCACCCATCAGGTTCACCTCTCAGTTGTATTCCAAAATGCCATCTGCCTAACTACTGACAAATCCACAGGCACACTTGAAAAAGATTATCAGATTGTGGTATTTTATTACAGAAAACAAATCCAATTTAAAGACAATTAAATTTAACCTTTGAGGAGTGG